GAGGGGGCGTGTCTGGTACGGGGGCGGGAGGGAGCTGCCTCTCCGCTCTGATGTCATCCAGAGAGCAACAGCGTGCGGGTAGGTGGACGGGCGAGGGGGCGGGAGGGAGCTGCGGCCGGTCTTCACATGTGAAATTGAATTACATGTGCAGCTACCCCGAAGGTAAGATGTCTGAAATATAAGACCTACCCCGAACTAGGTCTTATTTTCGGGGTAGGTCTTATATTACAGAAATCCCCGAAGATAGCACTAGGTCTTATTTTCGGGGTAGGTCTTACTTTCGGGGAAACACGGTAGTAATTTGTAAACCTAAGGGTCAATTCACACCGATTGCGGTGAGTTCCAGAGCGGTAGCTGATGGAATGCACAGAAATCGCACACTAAGCTCCCCCCTTCGTTCTGGGGCGGGAAGGGGGCGTGGCGGTGCATTGAAATCAATGTCACTGCAGCCACACCCGCCCCCACCCCCACCCGCAGTGCGATCAGACACGTGGCAAAACATGACCTGCTTTCCAGACAATGTTTCGCGTCCCATCGCACTGTGGGCGGGGGCCGTGGTTGTGGTGCCATTGACTTCAATGCACCGCCACCCCCTCCAGAATAAAGGGGTGGGGGGTTTAGTGTGCGATTGCTGTGAGTTCCAGCAGCTACCGCTCTGGAACACACTGCAATTGGTGTGAACAGGCCCTAAAGAGTTGACAGACCGTGTAAAAGCATAATATAAGGAACAAGGTGAGCTTTATTCATCGTATAGTGACTCTTGCTTATATTAAACTGTTAAAAAAAGTATTCCCTGTTTGCAAATACCTTTTTTTCTTGTGACCAGCATACCACACAACAGTCCCTGAGCTGGAGGGACTGTCCCTCAATTGGCCCCAAATCCCTCTTTCCTCCTCAGTTGTCCGTCATTTTGGTCTGATATCGATGTTTATGAAAATGTAATATTTAACTACCAAGTGTTATTCTGCAGTAAAATCTTATCTCTTAATGATCTTGTTTGCTATTTCTAGAATGCAATATAAAGAAAAAGTCATGGTGAAAAGAAAACTATTCTTTGTTTAACCAATCATTTTTGGCATATAAATTCTTCATGTTCTGCATAGCTAGGATTGTGCGCATTGCCTAAATATATTGTGCTGGAGGCTGTCTCTCCACCTCATCTCAGAAAGTGGGGAGGTATGAACTAGTCCACACTTTAATTTTTCTTGCCTAGGTAAGAATAACATAACCTCTGTCTGCCTGTAGCCTCCTGGGACACTTATGCCATACATGCCTGGAGGCTTTAGGTAAGGCTTCATTCACACTCGCCACTTGGGTTTTTATGCAGAGATCTGCCTGCAAAATCAGTCAGGCTAGATGCTTTGTTTATGCTTCTAGATGCTTAAAATGATGTGCGTTTACACATGCGTTTAGATGCATCTGTCCTTTGTCCGTTGAAACAGTCCAGTGACGTAGCCAATTTCAGCAAATAAACACGTCTTGCATTTACATGCCTTTTGGTGGGTTTAAATCAATTCCTGAATGCATCTGACTTTGACTATAACGCAGCTAAATTCATCTAATCACACCTATTGTGAATGTAGCCTTAAAGGAGAATTATGTGGCGAGTGATTTTCACTCAGCCTCATAGTTCGAGCCGACGTGTGATAATGAAACTGTCACAGGTCGGGTCAATAGATCGGGAAGTGAGCCAACACATACCGTCACTCACTCACTTCTCGATCATGTCCCTGCAGAGAGCCATGTCTGTCACTCACTGCTCCCTGCTGGGATTCCCCCTCTCCTACAGTGCTGACTGGCGGAACGGAGGGGTGAGGGGGCGGGTACAGCTTGCTCTGCCTCTAGATAGGCAGAGCCAGCTGTCAATCATGCAGCTGGGTGGATCTCGACAGTAATGTTGGGATCCGTCCTGGCTGCGGCGGTTTCAGTATACCGCGAGCTGTAGCTCGCAGTGTACTGAACTTTGGGTCACGGGAGGACGCTAGTTTGTGTCCTCCCATGACCCCTAGGAGAACTATGGGGAAAAACACTTACCCCATAGTTCACCTTTAATCTTCAGCAGATGCGCAAACAGCGTGTCATCAGGCTGCCTCTTTCTGGTTCGTGCACCCAGCCGTGTGATGCTGCACAGTGGCGCATTCATGTCATCAAGGGTCCAGCTGCAAAAAAGTTACAGACAGCTGGCTCCTGATGACATAAGAAGAGATGGTGGCATGTAATCAGGTGTGTAGCAGTGGAGTAACTGATGACTGCAGAACACTGAATTTGCTGGGCATGGGAGTATGTTTATTAGTGATATCCCAGCAAACAAGAGGGTACTGAATGAAAAAAAATGAGGATGAAATGTGACTTTGATTTCTTGCTCTGTGTAGATTAGGCATAATTTTCTATTGGCAATGTAGGAATACTTGGAGGCACGCTAGTAAAAATGAGAAGCGATCGAATTTTCCTTTCTTTAGAGGGACCTTGGCCTATCAACCACAAAGCGCTAGCACGTGGTAGATCTCTGGTCTCCATTGTGAACACAGCCGGAAGTCTACGCACTCCTCCATATATGACCACTAGAGTGCAGCCTGAGGCGCACTTTCTTCACAGAGATGTATTTGGCGGTTCCTCGGGACTGAAGCTAAAACACGCACGCTTCGCACACAGGGGGCGCTAACAAAATGGCTTCTCTAAGCAAGACAGGAAAAAGCCAAGGTTCTTTGTGTCAGCACAAGGCACTCGTCTCTGGGCGGGACGTGACGTCACTTCCGCTGGGCGGGTTACTGCCATCGCTTTTTATCTAGTGAGGAGGTTGCGCCAGGCCGGAGAACGAGTCGGATAGAACCGAAGCAGTCGCTTACGAGAGAGAACGGAAAAGAAATTCAATCAAGATGGAGACCGAAACCAAGTATTTGCCTGAGCTGATGGCGGAGAAGGACAGCCTGGACCCGTCATTTACACACGCCATGAGCCTACTCTCTGATGGTCAGTGTGGCGGGGTTGAGGGGGAGGGGGGATTGTATCGGGGATAGGATGTGTTTTCTGCATACATATGCATTTTGGCGCCTTCCAGTGGGATTTTGTTTTTTAAGCCTAACATGGGCTCAGTGTGTTGCAGAGCAGGAAAAATAGAGCTTGCTGCAGTTTTTTTTTTACATGCTCTGGTGTCAACTAGAGCCCAAAATGCTATTGAAATACAGTTCTGTAACTGCTCTGCATCTGGAATGCATTTGGTGGGAACATCCCTAACCATGTCTACCGAGCTTTATAGAGATGCTGCTCAGAATGAGCTCTAACTGACCAATCCATCTCATGATCTGAGAGATGTGAGCGAGGGCAGATGGAGACTTCATTTAGAGATAAAATCAAAGCTGTAAAATGAAGTGAGTTATCAAACGTCAGATGGTCTTTAACTGGTAAATTTTCATATGAAAAATCAGAATATTCGATACCTTCAGCGACTTGACAGATTTGGAAATTCCTTTTGATTTTTAACGGTCAATTTTGGAATGAATGGAGTCTCCCCAAACAAAAACCATGTTCATTCTTGGAATTTTGTTTGAGAACAATTTTCCCCCTTGTTCCTAATTTTTTTTTTTTTGTTTTTTTTTTTTTTCCTCCATTTAGCTGTAAGGCCTGGTTCACACCTGGGCGTATTTCAGCGCGATTTGTCGCACCGAAAAACGTCCCACGTCCGAAATAGTACAGGACGTAGGGGCGTATTTCAGCGCATATCCATTGGTATTCCTGAGTGCGGCTCGTGGTTAACCAAGCGGTAAACCTGAGCCACACTCGGGAATACAGCGTAGGTCTTACCTTGTCCGCGGTCCCCGCTGTGTCCTCCGGCCGCTGCCGTCTTCCAGGTTCCGTCGCAGGGGGTGGAACCAGCGGGAAGTTTAAAAAAACGAAAAAAATCATAACGCCAAGGATGTTAAATGAGCGTCGAACGCGCGTTTCAATTAACAAAAAAAAAGTGTTGAAAAACGAGCATAAAACGCTTGTATTTGGAATGCCCCGGTGTGAACCCAGCCTAACAAAACTGCCTGGTGGTGACCCTGGCCACTCTCTTGCCCCATAGAAGAACGACAGCACCGCCTTAAAAGACAGTAATCCATTGAGGATGGCTCTTTTTAAAATTTGTTTTTAGAACTCCTTTTGTCTGAAAATACATTTGTTTGTCCCAAGCTTGTTTAAAGTCGCTTTGGGTTGGTTCACACCATAGCGTTGTGCTAAACACGCAGGACCTGTGTGCTGTATTACCATTAATTCTCAGTGGCACCGCGGGTTGGAGTGCCATTGAAAATTGAGTGGTAATGAATTGTACATAACGCGTTACTGGAGGACTAGACAAATCCCAGGAGCCAGGTGGCCAATGCTCCCTAATCATTACAGCTGGCGGCCAACTTTTTTTTTGGTCAATGTAGCTGGCTTCTAAATTCTATCTTTGCATCCATTTGGTACCTTGTGCATGTTTGTGCAATAAAAGCATGAATGCCATGTGTTTAGCACTATGGTGTGAACCAGCCCTCACCGTTGGCTGCCTTGCTACATCTGCTGGAAGTCTGTGTTCCAAATATCCACCATGCTTCCAGGATATTACTTCTGACGGTTAGTTTCCAACCTTTTCTTCTGCTAGTTTGAGATCATGTTCCCGTGTTCTTGATCTTGGCTTCATTATGAAAATACTGCTTTCTTGAACCTCATGCACACTCTTAACCACTTGCCATACGCCCGTAGTAAAAAAACAGACGGACGGCACTGCAGCATTTGCGGGTTGCCGTCTCCAGACGGCGATTTTTTTATGCGCGCGCCCCCTAGCGGGCACGCACGGGCAGTAAAGACCCGACCATTGCACACACCCGTTACCGGGTGTTTCACATATAGGTGATTAGCGGCTCCATAGCCCGCCGATCGTCTATGTGCTCGTTCACGTTCCCCCCCGCGCGCGCCGGTTTACCCGACCCCCTCACCTTGAATCCCGGGATCCGCTGCCCCATCTGCGGCCCGGGATCGGCTCGGAGGGCGTCAGGAGGAGGAGGACGGGAAATCAGCTCCTTGCTATTATATAGGGGGATTGTTATCTCCCCTATGTAATAGCAATAACAATAAGTGCAAAAAAATAAATATAAATAAAATAAAAGTAACATATAAAAAAGTAAAATAATATAAAAGTCACATATAAAAAAAGGGGAAACAAAACCCCAAAATGTTTAACTCCCCCCACCCCCACGTTTACGCGCCTATAAACGTAAATACGCGCCCGGTGCCCCAGTGCGCAAAAATTACAATTGCACTACACATGTTACATATCGCCGCGAACGTCGCAATGAGAGCAATCATTTTAGGGCCATCAATCACTGATAACACTAAACTGATGAGCGGTAACAGCTTTTAAAGCGTCGCCTAGGGCCAATTTTGGGTATTATCGTTTTTTGAGGTTTCGCGCGCGCACGCAATTTTAAGGCTTGACATGTTTAGTGTCTT